GTTTAGAATGTATTTTTGATTTTATAACTTCATGGTGAATCTGGCTGGATTCGAACCAGCAACCGCCCAGTTATGAGCCGGGTGCTCTAACCAATTGAGACTTACAGATTCCTTATTAATTATTTTTTTAAAACTTTTTGCTCTAATTTATTATCGAAAATTTTTGTGAATAAAAAACAAAAAAATGGTAAATTAAATATATAAAAAAGAGTAAAATAAAGTTTTGTCCCAATTGTGGAGTAATGTTAGAGTGAAAATTGTGATTAAAATTAAGTAAATAATGAAAGATATTGAAATTCATAAATGCAATTTCCGACAGTTGGTAGAGAAATTGATCCAAGAAAAATCTCGCCTCTCTTTGCCGACCTATCAGCGAGAATACAGTTGAGATACTCAAAATTGAAAAGAGATTTTTGATGACATTAAANAACTCATAAAAACAAATCAAAAGAAGTTAGCGGGAGAGCATCTTAATATTTGGTTTATCGGAAGTATCATTTTTCAGAAAAAAGAAAATGGAACTGATTATGATATCATTGATGGTCAACAAAGACTAATTACTTTTTTTATTCTCCTCATCACTATTTATTCGACAATTCCTACGATTGATGACCGAGACAAGAAAAAAATCAGACAGTTTTTATTTTATGATTGATATGAAGGCTGAACGAGAAATGAAATTCCTCTTTTGCAAAATTCTTTACGAATAGAGTTAGACAATCCTGATGACCAAATCGATTTACGAACCATTATTCCATTTGCTAAATTTAACTTACCAGAAAAAAGAGAAGAAAGAAAAAGAAATATTATTCGAGCCAAAAACTTTTTTACTAGTAAAATAAATTCTGAAAATTATCAAGGTATTTATAAGACTATTTTAGATAATTTTTACTTTTCTTTGATTACTTTGGATGAAGAAACTGATTCTGAGATTTTCATGACTTTAAATACGGCGGGGGAAGACTTAACTATTCCAGATTTAGTAAAAAGTTTGCTTACTCGTCAGAATAATTATCAAGCCCGTCAAATGGCTCTAATTTGAGAGGAAAGAATAGTTAAAAAAATTTGCTTTCCGCCGGCTTCGAAAAAAAATCGGAGTGATAAAGTAAAAAAGTTTTTGATTACTTTCTGAGAAACACAAGAAAATAATTGCTACAATAGAACTTTGGATGACAAAATACTCCGTTTTTATCGGAAAAAAATCAAAGGTAAGAGTCAAGAAGAAAATCGTCAGTTTCTTGAACTGTTAACTAGGTATGCTGAAATTTATGAGAAGATAATTAATGTTAATAATCACCGCAAATGGNGAGAGCAAAACTGGTCTTGAGAAATGTTTAAAGTTATTTCTGAAATCCTTTTGCTAGACCGGAAAGAGTTAGTTTCACTTATTTTGTCAACTCACTTTCATTTTCAAAAAAAGACATTGGAGGAAAAACTAATCATAACCAAAGAATTAAAGAAATTAATAATTTACCTTTTTCGAGTTGTGATTATTAAAGGGAAAATAGAAGNAACTGAACTCCTTGACTAATTGGAGGAGGAATTATTTTGGTTATAGCGGTGGGGATGGTTGCTTACTTATGATTAAAGCAAAGTCCAAAGGAATAAAAACCCCCACACCACAGCGTTTAAAATCCCTAAAACAACAGGGCTATACATACAAAACCATCACCGCCGTTTACGGAGTAAGTGAAAAAACAGTAAGAAATTGAAAAAAGAGAGATGACAAGCCCAAGAAAGAAACCAGAGGCCGAAAGTCTAAAATAGGCGGTAAACTCCTCTATGATTTATCTTTCTTACTTTCCGGTCAAGGAAGCAGAAAAAGTTATACCCATCAAAAAATGGCTGACTATCTTTCTAGCAAAGCGGGTGAAAAAATAAGTCGGCTTTCAGTGTTGAGAGCCTTAAAAAAGACTAATTTTACTCGCAAGAAGTTAACTAACCATTATTCAGAGCAATTAGACCATTTAAGAAAAATTAGTAAGTTTAAAAAACTAATTCCTCTTTTGCCTCAATCCTGTATCCTTGCTATCGATGAGTGCGGTTTTCACCTAAACGAGACACCCCGCTATGGTTATGCTAAACGAGGTTCTCGGGCTGGATACATAAAACCAGGTTATCCAGGAAATAATCATACTCTAATCCTTTGTATTCAGAATGTAGCAGGTAAGGGAGTAATTCATTGAGAATTGATAAAAGGAGGGATGAAAACCGAGAACTTTCATAACTTCCTTAATAATCTTAAACTTCCCAGCGAGGTAAAACACTATCTAATAATGGATAATCTGCCAGTTCATAAGTCCAAGCAATCGTGTATTAAACTAAATCTAACTCCTATTAAGGAATTGCTAGCAAGCAAAAATATTGAAGTTCTTTATTTACCTCCTTATACACCAGAAATGAACCCAGTTGAATATTGTTTTAACTTTATTCGCCAACAGGTAGAAAAGAACAAACCAAGAACTATTGAAAAATTAAAAGAGGTTATTGCTAAAATTATAAATATACTTAATGAGAAAGATTTAACCGAATATTTTAGGCATTGCCAAGACTATAAACATGATGAAAACGCAAGTAAGTCGGGTAGTGATATGACATTTTGGAGATGGTTTATAAAAGGAAGCAGTGCGTATAAAAACGGAAATTATTTTTGAACTTTGTAATAATTATACCTTAAACCATTAATGAAAAAACCTGAAATAAGAGAATGTAATTTAAGTGGTTTTAGTCAAATGTTAGGAAAAAATCCAATAAATCGCTTTCTAATACCTTCTTACCAAAGAGGATATAGTTGAGATACTAAAAACTGAAAATGATTTTCTCGAAAAAAACTGAACCGAAATAGAAGATATAAATGATTTGGTAGAAAAGAGAAAAAAATACTTATTAGAAGATTTTAAAAGACTGCGAATTTTTGAAGTTGACTAAAAATCATTTATTATTATAGGAATTGACTTGGCAGTAAAAATATTCATTAAATATGAAAAAAGAGGAAGTGAAATACTATTTAGGACTAGACATTGGAATCGGCTCGGTGGGCTGAGGAATTATTGGTGAAGCCAACGGAGAACATTGATTAGAAGATTTTGGAGTTCGTTTGTTTCAGGCTCCGGAAGAAAGTAAAAATAAAAAGTCTTTGGCGGAAAAGCGAAGAGAATTTCGGGGCAAAAGGAGGCTGTTAAATCGTTGGCATCG